TTATTGTAAATCTTATGGAAAATACTTCATCACGAAACCTGTAGGGAATTCTTCAAAGCTTGAGGCGTGTCAAAAATACTGTCCTTAAGGTTATTTCACCCGATTTGGGTGTATCCCCCAGGATTCAACAAGCCTTTCTAGTATAAAATTAGGAGCATAAACTAACAAAGATTTATTCAGCTTGGTAGAAAATCCAGCAGAAGGAAGGAGAGTATTTTCTGTATACCTAGTATCTACCACACCAGAAAGAATATATGTATATAAAGAATGTGTGCATATATAGGTGAATGGAATCAAGTGGTTATAATGGGTACGTAATGATTAACGGTTACAAATATAGAATAATGACCCATTATTGCATGAAATAATAAAGACACGGATAATATTTTTCAAGAAAATATTTTCTTGGAATTTCTTGGAAAACAAGTAGTAATCTTACTCATTTTCTGGTGTTTGGTAATCATCGTCTTTATCGGTCCCCTGTTTATCCGATTAGGTCGAGGCTGGTGTCGATAATTGCTATTTAGTTTCCTGCTTTGTATTCAAAATTGGTTCCTTCGAGGTCACCAGTGTTGGTTCTAGAATCACTTCTTCGATTGCAAACATTTCCTTTGCGGTCGATTGCTCCCCGTAAATCATTTTAACCCCTCCTGGCATTGGGAATGGTGAAGAGTCGAGGGCACTACTTCTCATGTTGTGGATCCATGGCCTCCCGAACAGGGCGTTGTACCTCATGTCCCCCTCAATCACATAAAACTTGGTTTTATGAATGGTCCTGGCGGCGTTTGCTGTTAATGTTATTTCTCCCTTAGTAGTTTCACAAGCCATGTTGAATCGGTTTAGCACTTGGGCTGAGGCATGATTTGGTCCTGTAGGACGAGTTGTTCAGCGACTCTCGATCGAATGATGTTGGATGAGCTACCTGGATCAATTAACACACGTTTAACTCGAGATTTATTCATGAGTGGAGATATTACCAGTGCATCGTTATGGGGTTGCAGGATTCCTTCTGCATCCTCATCGCTGAAAGATAAAGTTCCTTCTCGAGTCCATTTCTCCCTTGTGATTGATACTTTGGTGCGTTTTAACATCGGAGCTTGAGGAGCGTCGACCCCTCCGATGATCATGTGGATGACGTGTTGAGGTTTTTCCTTATTGGCTTGTTTATTAGAGTCCCTATTTCTTAAATGATTCTTGGATTGGTCACTCGGGAATTCTCGAAGATGTCCGTTGTTGAATAACCGGGCTACCTCCTCCCTCAACTGTCGGCAATTCTCTGTTCTGTGGCCCTGAGTGCCGTGATATTTGCACATCTGGTTTGGATCTCTTTGAGTTGGGTCGGATTGTAGAGGTCGAGGCCATTTGGTATCTTTGATGCATCCTATAACCAATACGCTGGAAGCAGCATCGACGCTAAATTTATACTCTGATAACCTTGGTGCTCCTTTCGGTTCGATAGGTATGTCAAAACCATTCTTGCTCATGAGTCCTCGATTGCTCTGGCCTCGGTCATTTCTTCTTTCTTTTCGTATAGAACTCCGTCTGGACCCATTACTTCTTCGGTCCTTATTGTATGGTTGACACCGATCTCTGTTCGACCTTGGTTCACGATGGATATCTCTCTTGACTCTGTCGATGGGTCTAACAGGATAAATGGACCCGAAATGAGCCCCCAGTTGGTCAGCTTTGACTCTGATCTTCGATTGATATCGGTTATGCACATTAGCCCAAGTGACAATTGGATATTCTATCAGATTTTGTTTCAACTGCTATGAAGCCACCGAACTTCGAATATTGAGTCCTTGGGTAAAAGCTTGTATGGCCCAATCATCAGCGACTGGTGGTAGGTCCATCTGTTCCATTTGAAACGGAGATACGAACTCTCTGAGCATTTCATTATCCTTTTGCCTTACCTTGAATAGGTATGATTTCCTGGTTTCGACCTTGATAGCCCCAATGTGTGCTTTCACAAAAGAGTCTGCAAGCATAGCAAATGAGTCAATAGAATTAGGGAATAAGTTGTGATACCATATCATAGCTCCCTTTGACAAGGTTTTTCCGAATTTCTTCAGTAAGATAGACTTGATCTCATCATCCTCCAAGTCGTTTCCTTTGATGACACATGTGTATAAAGTGACATGCTTGTTTGGGTCAGTCGTTTCGTTGTACTTAGGAATCTCGGGCATGCGAAATTTTTTAGGGATCGGCTTCGGAGCCGCACTCGGAGGGAAAGGTTTCTGTACAAACTTCGTGGAATCCAAGCCTTTCAATATCGGCGGTGCCCCCGGGATTTGGTCAACCCTAGAATTGTAGGTTTCCACCTTTTTGTCGTTTGCTTCATTTTTTTCTCCCCTGATTCTATTCGTTTTGTCAGCTCCTCGAGCATCTTTATGATCTCGGGGTTGTTACCCGACTCGTTCCCACTCGACATTTCCGTGACCGATTCCTCCATGCGAGTGATTTCTCGAGACGGGTCGGGCTCGATCCTGCTCGGTACGTGGCTCTGATTTTGTAACTGAGCTATTGCTGCCTGTTGAGCATGTAACATTTCGAAGATAATCCGTAGATTGACCCTGTCTCCTCCATTCTTTTGAGTATTCTGTGCTGTCGATCGGGTTTCACCACGAATGCTATTCTCGGGGTCAATAGGGGGCTTGTGTCGATAGCCACATGCTAATTAGCGTCTAACGGGTCCGCAATTGGGATTCCAACGGGATCAACGAGAGGTACCTCGTTATCGGGCGCTATGTTATTGTTTTCACCGTGGTGACCTGATTCATTGTCAGCAGGTAGAGTCAGCAGGTAGAGGTGCTAATTGTGAGTTTGACATTTTGAGCTTAGGCCTGAAATTAGAGACACTTCAAAGAACAAGTGTAAAATAGTGTGCATGATGGAAATTTGTATCAAATAACCACTATTATCCTTAGCCACAAGGTGGGCGCCAAACCATTTACCCTCAAAATCGGATAACAATTGAATTTATAAGTGGTTTTAAGGATACGTGGATTAATCTGACAAAAAATGATAGATTGAATGATAAATAAAGCAAATAATAATAAAGTAAATTCAAATCGTGTGACTTGAACAGTTATAACATTGGGAAATAAGTCTCACTTGAACTGAATATGATCCAAATGGTGTCAGATACGGAAGAACAGTCGCTTGCAGAAAGAAAATAATATTATAATGCTTTGGGATGCGTGTTACAATGTGTATTACAAGAGTTAGACCCCCTTTATATAGTAGGGGAGTCCTGCTTTAGATACAATTCTATCAAAATGTTAGAAATCTCATGATTTGCTAATTAATCGGTCTCTCATTGATACGTGCCGAGATTTCCGCCGTGATACTTGACCGGTTGCAAATATTTCGGCCTTCCGTTATTGGATCCGATAATATTTCCTCGAGCTTATTCAGAGTCGAGGTCGATTCCGGAGTCACGGGCTCGAAGATCTTGAAAACCTATGTTCCGACTTCGTACTTTGGTTCGATGGAACCTGGGGTCGATCTCTAATCCATCACGTTCCAGTCCCGATCTATCATGCAATAAATGAGCCCGATTTCGGCCGTATATAATGTGACATTCTAATTGTTTTTTGAAACGTAAATTTTTTTATACCGAATTTAGCTTTATATATAAAAAAAATTATACAAGAATCACTTAAAAATTAATTACTACAAGTAGAACCAAAATAATGTGGTAAATCCTTTTATGTTAAGAGCTTGTTTGGAAAGCCACCTTGGAAATGGATTTGGGTGTAATTGGGTATAATTACACAGTTTGGCATGTTTGTTTGGCCAAGTAATTACTTGGTCAACATGGAATTGGATGTAATTGGAGGGGTGTAATTACACTCTCCAATTCTCAAGGGGGAGGTGAGAATTGGTGGTAATTACACTGTGTAATTACAAGGTTGCTTTTTAGTTTCTTTCCTTTTTGTTTTTATTTTAATTTATTTTCTTTATAACTTTTTATTTCTATTATTTTAATTTTTTAATTTTATTTTTACCTTTTAATTTCTTTTAAAATTTAAAAAATATTTTTCTTTTACATTATTTATTTTTTATTTCTCTATCTTTACTTCTTGTGATTCTATGTAATTGCTTATATTTTTTTTTCTTATTCTATTTCTGAAACTACACCTTCTAATATTAGAAATAATGGGTCATTAATAAACTTTGCATATAATGAGTGATGCACTTAAAGTGAAATTTCGTTGTTGAATGTGGTTATAAACTTACCATGTTTTCTAATCTTAAGTTGCAGTGGAACTTACTATTATTATGTTGGAATTTGACATATGTAAAACTATTTTTTTTTTTGAATATTGAAATTGTGTTATATTCATGGTTTCAATTTACTTGTTTTAGTAGTTTTGGCTCATATTCCATGTTGTTCATTTTTTTGTTAGAATTGATAGATTAGTTTTGTCAAACATTTGATTAATGTTATGACACTATATTTATAAATATTTATTTATTTTATCAAACATGAATTCCATGATGTTCTTACAAAATGTATATTTTTAGTTTTTGTAAGTGGCTAAACTAAATATTATTAATTTAAAAAATATACTATATAAATTGTTTTTATAATATTAGTTATAAATATATGATTACTAATTAATGTATATTTACGAAAAATATACATCTTAAATACCAAATATAATATTATTTATACTTATAAAAATTAATAGGTATATATTTATTATATTAATTTTTAAGTTTTGATAATTACTTAATTTAAAATTTAATCTAACTGTGTAATTACACTTGTGCAACCAAACAGTAAATTTGTTATTACACTATGTCAAACAAACAGGTCATCATAATTACACAATTGTGTAATTACTAGGTTGTGTAATTACTACCCCAGTAATTACACAACTCCAATCTCTAATTGTATTGTATTATTATACAGTAACGTGTAATCCCGGCCAAATTCAAATGATTCATGGCTGACGCCCACACGTAGCAACCGCTCGCCGAAGAATTCAAAACCATTAATGGAAGCTTCCATAGCTGAAAAGTCATTTTCTCCGTCTTTTCCTTTGAACGAAACAAATTCCTCCGCGGCGATGACCTCTTAATCTTCAACGCTTCCTTAATTCCTTCATTTTAAAATCCTTACTACTACTTCTTTCAAACATTCCAAACACTTTCAATCTGTAATTTAGGGAGAAAATGCCGAGCTTAATGGTGAAAGTTTATAGCGTACTCTTCAAGTACAACCTTAAACGCCGATTACAAACCTTAATCGAATCCTCAACTTCAGACTTTTTAAACGATGTCGTTTCACGCGCTGATGAAACCACTGCCACCTCTAATCCTAGCTTCTCGAACAATGGGGTTGCAACTAAGGACCTTCATATTGATCCTTTGACAAATCTCTCCCTCAGAATTTTCCTCCCTCAATCCTCTCTAAGAAATTCGGTCTCCAGTGATGGGGCTTATGGGGGTTATGTGCCAATTTATAAAAATGGGAACAGTTGCAAGAAATTGCCGGTGATTTTGCAGTTTCATGGTGGTGCATGGGTGAGTGGGGGTATTGATACAGTTTCTAATGATGTTTTCTGTAGGAAATTGGCGAAATCTTGTGATGCGATTGTGGTCTCAGTTGGGTATAGGCTGGCACCGGAGAGTCGGTATCCTGCTGCATTTGAAGATGGGGTTATGGCCATTAAATGGTTAGCTAAGCAAGCTAACTTGGCTGAATGTGGAAGGTCGAGGATGGTTAACGGGGAGAAGGGTAGTGGAAGGCGAATTCTTGATGGATTTGGAGCTTCTATGGTTGACCCTTGGTTAGCTGCTCATTTAGACCCTTCAAGGTATAATTTTCACTTATTCAAGCTTTTGGCATAGCGAATAAGTAGTACTTGTTTTGATTTCTCTTGTTTTAATAGGGCACAGTGTGATCTTAATTACACATGTCATGATATTTCAGAGCATTTCATTTAAGGTAAAAATAAGACGTTTAAAGTGAAACTATATTTAAATATGGACTAAAATTGAAAAAGTGTTGTATATAGAATAGAACAGAGGGAGTACCAGCTAAGGTATTTCAGCTGCTATTTTGGATAGAAGAGGTAGTTGTTGCTTGAGGAATACTTAATATTTATATGGAGTGCCTCATCAACTAATACTATGCAAAACATGGATCAAAAGTACTTAGTGATTGATTAACTCCTATTTTTCCCAATTTTGTATGCTTCTTGTATTTAATCCTTTGAGCTCTAAGCTAAACAGATGGCCTTGTGATGGTGTTTTAAGTCTCCAAACATGGGACACAGAGAGTTTTGAGAGGTTGCATTAGAGTTTGATGTGACAAATTCATGTATAAAGATGGGCAAAAGGCTCCAGTATGCAATCATAACTAAGATTGGCAAAATGCTCCAGTATGAAATCATAACTAAGTTATAGGATCCTATTCAAAAACCTGCATGTCGGCTCTCTTTTAGCATTCTCAGTTTATTAGGTGCATGTCTGCATGTCTTGATGAGAATTATACAAAGAAGTGCTTGTGACTTTGTTCAATCTGATCTTATAGGTGTGTCCTCCTAGGAGTAAGTTGTGGAGCCAACATTGCCAATTATGTTGCGCGATATGCTGTTGAGGCAGGAAAGCTTTTGGATCCTATAAAAGTAGTGGCTCAAGTTCTAATGTACCCTTTCTTCATTGGAAACATTCCTACGCATTCAGAGATGAAACTGGCAAACTCTTACCTCTATGACAAAGCTACATGTATTCTTGCTTGGAAACTCTTCCTCCCGGAAGCAGTTTTCAATCTGGACCATCTAGCTGCAAATCCTCTTGTACCAGGAAAAGATAAACTCTTGGACTTAAAGCATATGCCACCAACACTTACAGTGGTTGCACAGCATGATTGGATGCGAGACAGGGCTATTGCATATTCAAAGGAACTTCGAAGAGTGAACATTGATGCCCCTCTGCTTGATTACAAGGATTCTGTACATGACTTTGCTACTCTTAATGTGCTTCAGAAAACTCCTAAAGCTCAGGCTTGCTTAGACGACATTTCAATATGGGTTAAAAAGTATATATCCCTCAGAGGCAATGAATTTTCATATTGAATGAAGAATCAGAATCAGAGACAAAGGTGTTCCTGCTCTTAGGGTGTCTGCCAACCTCCTTTCATGACATATTTAGTTGTGCACGCTGAAGTTTTTGTAGCAGTTTTTATCCCTGTTAGAAGTTAAGGGTACTTTGTTCATTTATTAATTCATAATCATTCTTTTGTATACCGTATGTAGTGATGTACATATAGCTTATACATCAGAGGGCACACTAAAATTTAATGTAAATTTGCTCTCTAGTGTAAATCCCTAGCGTTCCCCTTTATGGTTTCAGCTGCATGGGGGAACCATTTGAAGAAAGGATTCAACTAAAATAAGGCATGTTACGTGCTACAACATCGTATGGAAAATCTTTCCAATTTTGCCATGTTCGATTGGTCATGTTTGGAAAAACATCATGAATACAAGTGTCTTAATATCAGGAAAATGACTTCCCTGGTAGGACGAAGGAAAACAAGTTTCATAAGTAGCAATTTAGGCTGATTATGACGATCCAAGAGACTTGTGGGACTATACTGGGTCGTTATTGTTGTTGTATGACGATCCAAGAGAAAGATGAGTAGTTGAGATTACATAAATTGCAGCCGGGGTCAAGAATCAAAGATGGCATGCTCTACCATGTGAACTTTCTTGAATTTCATTGTGTTGTCAAATAGAGCTGCGGAGCTTAATCAGCTCAAGTTCTCTGAAAATAATACATGAGTCTTTGTTTAAACGGAAAAGGGCCAAATATGCCAGTGAACTATGCGAATTAGGACAGATATGCCTGTCGTTAATAGTTTGGCACAGATATGCCCAATTTGTCCAATACTTGCTCATTCATGCCCTTAGTTTAACAGATCGGAACCACTATTGTCTTTCTTAAATAATTAATAACCGGACCCAACCAAAATCTACTGACCCGATCTGTTAGGACCCGACCCACCCTTATTTCAAAGATATTTTTTGATATATTATTTTTGTTTAATTGAGAAATTGTGTGATAATCATATTTATTTATTTGAGTAATTTGATAATCGATATTTTTTTTGTTATACATCATTTCGGGAAGTAATCCTACTAAAAATAGTACGTAATTGATAAGTATTTATTATTTTAATAATATAATATTCGAACTAGTTTGTGCTTTTTTCAATCATTTTACCATCTATTTTATTTTTCTCACAATCTATTTGTATTTTTCACCAATACAAATATAAATAACTCCATGTTCACTATAACATAACATGATGGATCCGTTTTTTTGTTTAGATAAATGATCATTATATGATTGATTATTAGTTTATTGAATTATTTTCTGCATTACAAATTTGTTATGAAATAAGTAATAAATTGTTAAAACTGTGGTGCTTCTTTTCCATTTTTATTAATTAATTATTTCATAACAAATATTATTTCATAGCAAGCACCACTGTTTAAACAGTGGTGTTTCTTTTCCATTTTTATTAATTAATTATTTCATAACAAGTACCACTGAGAAAAATAAAATATATGGTAAAATGATCGAAGAAAGCACAAACTAATTCGAATATTATATTATTAAAATAATAAATAAATATCAATTACTACTNCGCTCTCTGCAATATTATGCTATTCTATTCAGGAGTGCTTTGACACTGAATGATCATATTGCTTCCATATGGATGGGCATCTAGACTTTAATGCAATGCTATTGGATTAATGCAGATCTTAGTATAAATTGGACGACCTTATTTGGATAGGGTATCCCTTTTAAGTTTGGATCGTATTTCTAGCAGTGAAGGAAGACAGTGTTGAATTTTTTTTTTGCCTTGGAGAAAGAAAAGACATATTATGGATGAGGCAATGACCTTTATATCTCAGCTAAGAATGGAGATTTCAATAGGTGAAGAAGGTAAGCTGAGAAAGCTATCAGGATGCTCATAACCTCCATTAAATGTTTTTGACCTGTGTATGGAAGGGTTTGTTGAATCCGCCCTTTTCCTCCCCACACACCCAGATTGTATCGTGCAGGATGCTTTGGAGTTCTGAAAAGTTTTATCGGAAGGCATCTCTAAGTGGGCTAAAAAAATTCAGATCTAAGTTTATTGATATTTGGCTACACATTTGCAAACTTGTAAGTGGGCTAAAATAATGCAAGGTCAACTTAAGGAGTGCATTATTATGCAATTTTGTCAATATAATACTATTAACTGATAGCAGTAATCACTTTGAAATTGGAACATGTGGATAATTCAACAACTTGACAATCCAAGGTAGGGGTGGCGAACGGGCTGGTCGGATTGGATATGGGCGGGCCGAAAAACGGACATGCAAAAAATAGATAATTCAACACGACCCATATCTAACACGGATAGAAAATGGGTTCACTAGCGGATAATATGGATATACATATTATTCATGGCTAGCTTTTTGAATATGATCACTTTTGGGAGAATTCCTAATCTCCCAAACGTGAGAAACTCCCAATTTGAGTCTTTTCAAATGTAAAGGTTAAACTAATTGATTATCCATTTTTTAAGAGATAATATGGATCTTATCCATATTTGACCCAATTTTTTAAAAGTTCATTATCCAACCCATTTTTTAGTGGATAATATGGACGGATATATAACTGTTTTTTTAAAATTCATTTTGCCACCACTAATATAGGATATTGCCAGAAATTTTTCTCCATAGGCATACGAAACTTGGGCTGGAAGTATATTGCGAAAAACATTTAACGGAAAAGGGCCATATATGCCAGTGAACTATGCGAATTAGGACAGATATGCCGGTCGTTAATAGTTTGGCACAGATATACCCAATCCGTCGAATACTTGCTCATTCATGCCCTTAGTTTAACGGAACCACTATTTTATCTTTCTTAAATAATTAATAACCGGACCCAACCAAAATCTATTCATCCAATCCGTTAGGACCCGACCCACCCTTATTTCAAAGATATTTTATGATATATTATTTTTGTTTGATTGAGAAATTATGTGATAATCATATTTATTTATTTGAATAATTTGATAATCGATATTTTTTTTGTTATACATTATTTCGGGAAGTAATCCTACTAAATGTAGTAGTGCTTGTTATGAAATAATTAATTAATAAAAATGAAAAAGAAGCACCACTGTTTTAACAATGGTGCTTGTTATGAAATAATTAATTAATAAAAATGGAAAAGAAGCACCATTGTTTTAACAATTTATTACGTATTTCATAACAAATTGTAATGCAGAAAATAATCCAATAAACTAATAATCAATCATGTAATGATCACTTATCTAAACAAAAAAAAAAAAACCGGATCTATCAGGTTAAGTTATAGTGAACATGGAGATTTGTATTTGTATTGATGAAAAATACAAATAGATTGTGTGAAAATAGAAATAGATGGTAAAATAATTGAAGAAAGCACAAACTAGTTCGATATTATATTATTGAAATAATAAATAAATATTAATTACTACTTTTAGTAGGATTACTTCCCAAAATGATGTATAACAAAAAAATCGATTATCAAATTACTCAAATAAATAAATATGATTATCACACAATTTCTCAATAAAAAAAATAATATATAAAAAAATATCTTTGAAATAAGGGTGGGTCGGGCCTTAACAGATCGGGTCATTAGATTTTGGTTGGGTCCGGTTATTAATTATTTAAGAAAGACAAAATAGTGGTTCTGATCCGTTAAACTAAGGGCATGAATGAGGGAGAAATTCAAAAATAACCAGATTTATAAGTGGTCGTTCAAAAATAGCCCAGTTTCAAAAGTAATCGAAATTTAGCCACTTTTCATGTAAAGATAAATCTGAGCGAAAACACTGTTCAAAACCCGAAAAATACGCCAGTATATTATGCTGGAGTTCCAGCATAAGTATACTTGAACTCCAGCATATTATACTGGAGTTCCAGGATAAGTATGCTGGAACTTCAGCATAATATGATGGAGTTCCAGCATAAGTACACTAGAACTCCAGCATAAAATACTGGAGTTCCAGCAAAGTATACCGGTCCACTATAATATGCTGGAAGTTCATACACAAGTGCTCGAATCTCCAGTATATTATGCTAGAGCTTTCCGTGTGTTGGAGTTCCAGCATAATATGCTGGAAGTTCATACACAGGTGCATCGAACTCCAGTATATTATGTTGGACCGGTCTCTGTTGTAGCAAAATAGTGGCTATTTTTCATTGACTTGGTAAACGCTGGCTATTTTTGAATGACCAGTCCGAAGACTGGCTAGACCGTGCTATTTCTTCCATGAGAGCAAGTATTGGACGGATTGGGCATATCTGTGCCAAACTATTAACGACGGGCATATCTGTCCTAATTCGCATAGTTCACTGGCATATATGGTCCTTTTCCGTTGTTTAAATTATATCCATTAATAAAGAAGTAAATGGACGAGAAAATTTGTTTTGACAAGTTACATTCTTTGCAGCCTTAGTTTCCAGAATGTTTGAAATGATCGAGCTTTCGAAATAACAGTTGCATTTCTTTTAGTTCTATGAAGTGTATGATTGAATAGATTATTTATTCATGGGACACCTTCAATTGCTTTCAAGTCCTCCGCCCCTAATGGATTTTGTTGTTCCTTATTTCCTTATTTCAAAATTAACGAACTTCCAACTTCTTATTTTATCCATTAAAAATATTTTTTTATTATTAAGATGGAGCGTCGCCTTACAAGACAATAATCTTAATCCAAAAGTTTCTGGTAAAAAATTGCTCATCATATTCCTATCTTTCTCATATTTTAATTTTTTTTAACTCTACTGAAATTGAACAACAATTAAACAGTACACCAATTCTAAAAAATCATTTATTTTTCATAGGAAAATAGATAATCTTCAAGAATCCATCTATAATTGCAATTGTGTAGACAAGATAGTATTGGTCTCAAAAAGACAAACTAAAAGAAAGACGACGTTAGTTATCTTTTGAGCAAAAGAAAATACTTTGTGAATCTCTACTTTTGATACGTATTTCTGAAAAAAAAAAGTACATATTCTTTTTTTCCCTTCTTTAGAAATACATATGCTTACATTAGGTTCGATGTTTAAGAGTCTCTATTGCCAAAAGTTTTGAGAGCAAATAAAGAAAATATAGTTAGGAGCTTGCTTTGGGCAATTAAATCTCAACTTTTATAGTTATGACATTAAGTAAAAATTTGGGGAAATGGAGAAAATGGAAAATAGAGAGGAGCTCCATCCCACAAAACGTGCATTTAAACGTGAACATACTA